GGGTAAGTAAAGTGTTTACTGTCTTTTACTTCAAACACTTTGTTCTAAACAGACAATTTTTATTTATATCCGATCGAAATACGCCATAACAAACAAACCAGACACACATTAAGATTAATTTCACAATTAAAGAAGTAAACCATTAATTATCAATTATATGAGCATTTTAGTTTAATCCCGATTATTTCTCAATTCAACCAGGCTTTCATAACACAGCTGCTCTGTCGTAAATTAATCAAATTTTAATTATCTCATTCTGTTTGTAAATTAATCTCATTTATCAAACATCGTGTTGCTCGACCTAGTTTAATTCACCTTCATATTAATAAAATACCAGAAAAAATAATATTGAATTTCTAAGAACCAGTAATTCCTTGTCTGTAAATGAAAATACTAATGGAATAAATGTCCTGTAGATGAAATATTGCCTTAATAAAAGCTAAATTCTGGAAAGTTTCGTTAGATCAGACTTCTATTTCTTTTTTCCAAAACTCTGTTAGTAATAGAAGTATTTAGAGTAATTGGTATCTGAATTGCCTAAATTAGTTTGCAAAGTTTCTATGCTATACGTGTCACGAGTCACCGTTCTATATTAAAATACCATGTGATAACATGAAATTAACACAGACTAAAATTAATATGAATTTCGAAGATAAGAGGTTATTGTTCATCCTGTAAGTTGCGTTAAATTGAATGAGAAAACTTCTCAAATAATCCAAGTATGGAAACATCACAGGATTTAGGGGCCGTCCATAAATTACGTAAGGGCGATTTCGGCCATTCTAGACCACACCCACCCCTTTGTAAGAAACTGTAATATTTTCTTTGATCCTCTCTCTCCTTCCCTATCTTACGTAATATTTTGGCATGATTTTATAGAAAGATTTTAACCAAAAAAATTTTTTTATGAAACCCTAAAAACCTTAAGTCCAAAATATATAACTAATAATTAGTTAATTAAATATTATTAATGCCTTAATATTTATTTTTGTATTAATTTTAATTTTCGCAAAAGACGCAAAAAACTTTGCCAGATCGACTAGCTAGTGCACGTGTAAACAGAAACGTCATACAAAATAAAACAAGAGAGAATAGAGAGAAACCACATTCCGTTGCCATATTGATTACATCTTGGCTAAGGCCAAGAAAATAAACTACACGCCGCTAAAATGTGCTAGGCGCATCCGGAGACTAAATATTAAAGCTTATAAAACTCTATATAATGGGACAATACAATCAACGCTACTTTACGCGGCCACTGGCTGTAGTCACGTAACTAGTAAAAATTCAGTAGCGAGTAAATTACTCTCTCTTCAAAGCCAGTTTGACATCAGAATTTCAAAGTGCTGCAGAACTGTTTTTACTAATACCTCTCTGATACGAGCCTTCTTTTGCCACTATGTATTGTAGAAAAGGTTCTAAACTACTACATCAGAACTACAAACGTCAAGGCTCAACAACGATCTCTACTCCTATCTACGGCTGTTCATACTCTACGACATTGCAATTACCCTACTATCTCTGATCATCATCCTGTAAACAAGGTTATTTTGGTGTCATCCTCTTCCTCCGTGGATAATCACGCAGACATTAATATCTACACAGATAGGTTCAAAAGTTTCTTATTGTCGTCTCGAGTATCTGTATCTTCCTGCAAACTGACATATTTTGCCCAAAATATATTAGAAGGTACAGATATCTTCCATATACCTCCATCTATCAGGCTGAAGAAGATGCCAACTACCAAGCTGTACACAGTGGGCCACTTCGCTACCAAACGAAACTCTGTCTATCAACATTTACAGCGATTCTCAGTCTGTCCTAAAAGCTCTATTAAATCCCAATTGCAATAGCGATAAAATCGCATATATCCAGCACCGTATTAAAAATCTTGTAAATAAAATAACTTTTATATTTGTTCCTGGCCATACTGGCCTACTAGGAAATGAAAGAGCAGACTTTGAGGCTAAGTCAGCTGCAAAGGACACTGATTTGGAGTACACTCGCATCCCTCAACCACGTAGAATGACAAGACTTTATGTTCCTAGTGTTGAATGTAGGTTCTCATCACCACTTAGAGATTTAACGTTTGCTAATGCTCAACTACTTACTGAGCGTGGTAAGTTTAGAAGCTACCTGGCAATGTATATCAGGGCAGAAACTGCTTCTTGCTTTTGCTCTACAGAAAACCTGCACACCGTCGACCATACGATCTATCATTGTCCAATTTACGATGAAAATAGACTTATTCTGAAATTAGAAATTTTTACGCTCGATTTCGTGTGGCCACGTCCACTCGATAAGCTTTTTTCTTTTCTTTTTTTTTAAAACTCTTTCCGCCCTGTGGGCACTAAGAGGGCTTCTTTTTTCAAGTCCATTATAGGTTCGGCCAAGCCCACAGTGGGGCTGCCGGGTGGTGAGGGACGTGGCCCGACATATCCGAATGAAACCACTCGATAAGCTTGTTCAGAAACCACTGAATGATGCTTTTTACAATTATGTTCAAAAATGTAGAAGAAAAGACTGTTTATAATTTCTAATTTCTAGTTTTACATTTTATTTTCCCAAAAAGCTGAATACTAATTTTATGTTTACTTTGTATCGTGTATTTTGCTTTATGTAATCTTAGTGTTATACACCCATAGGAGTGGTTCATTAATAAAGCATATCCTCGAGCAGTTTGTATGGACACAGGTATGCGTGGATTCGAATCTTGCGGATTGTGGCCTCGCAATCGCTTTAAGATCAGGGATGAGGAAAATGTTCTTGACGAAGATGCTGATCTAAGTGAATCGGCGGAAGTCTCCCAGAATCTGGCTACTGAAAGGCAGCGAGAACAAAACAGATACTTTAACGTGTGTGGCACAATCCAATCAGACTACTGAGCAAGAATAGACTGAAGAAGTTGAGTACTCACAACTTCCCCGAGGTACCGACAACTCACCCTTCAGAAAAACAGCGAGATCAATGTCTAGAAGAGAAAGCGAAGGAATGTTCTTTACGTATGAAAGTAAACATTTCTAATACAGAGGCAGTTCTAGCGACATTTGAAATAATATCTCCAATACGTGGTATTCTTGGAAATGCAAGAAGAAAAACGTATCAAAGAATCTTGGTGCAAAGAAAAGTAAAACTACCAAATTATCACTAAAGGAAAATAAAAAAAAGAAACAAGATGATGAAAATAACAGTTGGTACTATAAATTATGCCAAGAAGACGTAAAAGAAAGTATGGTCGAATGCACACAATGTGAGATATGGGTACATGAACTTTGCGCAGGAACCAATAAAAAACAACGGATTACAATTGCGATGACTGCCAAAAAATGGCGAAGACCATCCGCCTAATTTGTTAAGAGTTAATATACACACGTACTAATACATTATTGATAAAGACTTTTATTCTTAAGACTGCAAACCAACGATAGGATCTCAAAGTACGATTTAAGATGAATGGTCCTAAATCCTACTTTTTTAGTGTTTTTTAAAATTGCTTATTTCTCAGAAGTTTATAAGATTTATGAAATCTAAGAAATCCTTGACCCTCATCCACCCCAAAATACCTTACGTAATTTATGGAAGGCCCCATATCAATAATTTCAATTCTTGAAACGAAGATACGAAAGCAAATAGTAATTTTTACCGTACCGTCGTCTTAATACCGATTGTATAATTTTTAAAAAGGATTCTTATGACTTGAGATTAACTTCGTTGCTGGTTTATCCTTTGGCAATGATTTCTTCAGCTTGGAAATTTTCTTTTTGAAATACAGTATATTTTTTTCTCGCTTTGTCCCTCGAAATATTCTCCTCTTTTATAACTGAATATATATAATAAACTCAACTGTTTTCAAATGATTTCTTAGGTAATGCAAAATCAGGATTTTTTTCGAGACAGGTGCTGTAAAGAATACTCGGAAACTCTTGAATGAATCTGTGTTATTTCTAAGAAAATGTCAGCAGCACACTTTGCACTTATTCCAGAAAATTTTCCAGTAATTTTTAAAAAATAGAAATTTAGAAAATTTCGATTTTCTTCCATGTGTGTTTATAGTTAAACCAAACAACTTTTGCACGTATCCAGGGAATTAAAATTCTTTCTTTTATTTGTCACGTACTCTTAAGTGATATTACTGTATATCCCATTCACCCGGCCGTCAAATTCTTTGTTTACTTCTAAAATTTAAATTTAAAATTAAAGAATTATAGATTAGATAAAACGCTTTTAATTTCAAAATGATGTCACGTTTAAGCTTATATTAATTAGTGGCTTATCCAATCAATATTGTAAAAATTTGAAGTATGCACTCGAGCATTACACGTTCGATCCATCTTAATGGACTCTAATAGCATATAAATTCTCAGCAAAATTAATAAGCTCGTTCCATGATTAAATGTCGTATAAAACCAATGCATTCTTATCCATTGATTATATGCGATCAATAGGTTTTTCCGTAGTCTAATGATTAAATGCCTTACTGCATTACCATAAAGAGAAGTTTTCTGTTACCAATTAGCACCATCCTTTCCTAATAAATGTAATTTTCAGTGTCATTCGAGTGAATAATTAATTTTAATTACATTTAATTTAAAAGGAAAAATTAAAATGTATCCTTCTGAGCACGCTACCAACTGCTATTGTCTTACGTGTAGAATAGAGACAAATTTGCAAATAATCAAAATTTTCGGCTTGCAGACGTGTGTAAATGGCAAGAAAGCGACGTTTGCACTTAACATTTACGGATATTTCGTGCAGTGTGTACTGATAGCAAGCAATATTAATATTCTACTCTTCATCTTTCTCACGGAAGAGGCAAGAACGAAGTATACGGGAAATATTTCTGATATTTTTAAAGACGATTTCGTCTTACATTTTCTGGTCATATTCTCTTTCACGTTGTTCGTCTCTCTGTCGTATTTCGTCTCTCTGTCGAACGGTACTCGACCGTCAACTCTTACAACGAGTTCTTAGTAAGTACTGCGACCATTTCGAACAGACAAGACTGAAACCGGCGCTCATACAATACAAAATGGCTAACTGGATACGCGGCTTATCGTTACTTTTTATCACGTTCATAATTGTTGTCATTTCCATTGCTTTCTCGTTTGTCGTGAACAAAAACAACCTCTATATTATTATATTCCATTACGTTTTAACTAATTGTGAACTCTTTTACGGCATTCACGTAATAAGTTATATAATTCTCATTATATTCGATATCGGAATCACGCTGGAGCACGAAGTATCGCTGTTCTGCACAGTGTTAGAAGAACAGATTTGCGATAAGAAGAAAATAAATTACCGATACGTCATAGCGAGACACGTTCAATTCTGTGACATTCTTTCCGATTTCGACGATATTGTCAGCTTCTTCTCTGCCATTTATTATTTGTTCCAATTGGCATTGACGTCTCTTTCCGTTTACAATGGAGTGATCGGAAATGGAAGCACCATAATTAAATGTACAGCTCTCGTAGATTCAGTCTTCAGTATGTTGGTTTTTTTTATTCTTACATTGGCTACTACAAAACTACCGAAAACTGTAAGATTCTGTCGTATTTCGGAAAATCGCATAAGTTTTCTATTTTTTAGATAATGTTATTTTAGCAGATGAACACGTGTTATTTTCTTACAGATGCACCGGATACGTCCCATCTTGGAGCTTCTTTTCTTCTACGAAGAAGGACTCGAAGACAAGCTAAAGGTATGCTTTTTCTAATTGACTAATAAGTGGCTGGATAATGGTGTTGGTCTCTTAATCCATTTTACAGAACAAAATTTCCACTTTTATAATAATTTTTGTTGCAGATAATTTCCTACAGAAAGAGATTAGGAAAAGCTCCCATAGGAATAACCGTAGCTGGAATATTCACGATTACCAAGAAAAGCATTCCCAAGGTTGGAATCTTGAAAAATTTTAAAACGTTCTCCTCGTAATAATTCATTTATTTATCTTTGCCACTTTTTCAGACAATTCAGGCGATGTATTCCAGTTTTACAAGTCTACTGAATGTCAAAAATCAGATGAATGCCTGCGATAAAGCATATAAACACGTTCGGATATGATAGGAAAGAAAGGGACTTAGCATAAAATCCTGTTATTACTTCACAAGCACCGACTTTTATGCCGTAATTCTATAACATTTAGTTTCATATTAAAATATTTCTTTAGTCTTTGTATTTCAATTAAAGGCGTTTTTTAAATATTTATCCATAAACGTCTCTTTCTTTATTCACGTGTCGTGACTTTATAATTGACACATCTATAATGCTATTCAAATTGTGACTTTTTAAAATATATCTATAAGATTTAGTTACGTTACATTACAAAAGTTATTAAAAACACTCCGTAAGCTTATATTTTATACGTTATATTATACGCTTACCTCAATCACCTGGAATTATCAAATGTTTCCACTCATCTTTTCTGCAGTATTAAAAGTAATTTATATCTCTTGGCTTTTTCATGGAGAAAACCGAAAATATTACATTTTTCTCCGAAGAATGTTTACTGTTCGGTGCCCTAAACCAAACTTCAGTACTTAAAAACAAATATAGATAAGAAAAAATCCAAGTAACTGAGAACAAAGAAACCATTATGGTGACTACCACAATACATTACGGTATCGTGTCCCGAGCACGTGTTTATACACTGTTAAATATTTGTCTAAAAAAACATGGTGGTTCTTTCTCCAAAACATCCTACATCTCATTTGTAAGTGTTAAAGTTTTATCGAGGAAAAAACGATCACTAACATCCCACGTACTGATAGTCAAAGTTGAAATCGAACACCGACTAGAAAACACCTCAGCACGGGTATCTAGTCTCGAATTACTTGAGTACACACACGAAAACATTTACTGAACGTGTTCAGTAAATGTTTTCAATGAACATCTTAACAGATCATAACAAGCGATTCTCCCAATTGACATAAACGTGTTGAAAGTATTATGACTCGCGTGTCAGAATTAGGATTGCTACTGCCGTTGCAGTCAAAATGAGTAAGACTTGGTTTTCCAAATGAACTGATTTCTTGTGAAATGAAACTCCACATACGATTTTCCACCCTTTTTTTACTTAACGTTGCAAATACGCAACCCCACTGTTCTAACATCGCGTGACTTCCGTATATGTATTTGTCTCGTGTTCTTTGATTTAGCTCCACACTCGATTTTGTGCGAATTTCAGCAGCTTGTGAATGGTGGCACTGAATTGAGTTTGTTACTTTTAGAATTCTGAGATTCATCTGATTATTATTTTGTGACCGTAAACTCGTTTCTTTTGTTTGTCACGTACTTCTATTATTTTTATAATAGCATAAAACTGTTACGTTCAGTCGATTATGTGAAAAAATACTAAAACCTTATTAATAAATAAATAACAAGGAAAATGGGCAATTAAGATTAGGACTCTTCGGATGAATGATCCAGTTGTCGAATATTAAATGTTTTTGTACGTAAGCTGAGATCGAACACAATAAGAAACAATACATTTTCCAGTATAGAGACAGAGCTGAAGGAAATTTTTATTCGAGGTCAAAGGTCAAGATACACACTGATAAAACGTGGCGTAATTACAAGATGCAACTCATTCCTATGTTTTAGTTACGTACATGCTTCATGGATTACAGTTTCATACACTTTTAACAATTTCGCCACAATCCTTAATTAAACTAATGTAAATATATTGATTTAAAGTCCAGATTCGTATTTCTGTACATATATGAAGCTATGAGAGTTTCTTTTCACCTCACATACTATCTACAATTATAAATTAAATGTAAATCATTTGAAAGTAACTGTTAATAAGACTACGCAATTAGAATACCGATTGATATTCCATGCCCTGAACTTGAATAACGGCTTCCTTCAGCCCCTCTATACACTGGAAAAAGGAATACAATGACCGGGTCTCATTGTTTCTCAACGAAAACATACCTTGGCAAATACTCTGGCACTATTTACCCAAAACTCATAGATTACAAAGATAGAATTACTTATGGATCCATTTGTCAGGAGAGTTTTAATAAATTTATAATATAAATGTTTAATCTCAACCTGTTGTTTTTAGGAGGACCACACAATGTTGTACCAGGAATAGGGTCAAATTTAAGCAGGATCATTTTTGCTTATTATCATTTACAAATTTCTTTTTATAAAAACCTATCTCGAACTTCAAAATTCGGCTTTTCTTTGCCAGTTTACAATAAAAATTTGAAGACATTTTTTTTAAAACGATATATCACATTTGATAGAGCAGTACGAAATTTTCAGTCTGATTTCATATTATATCTAGACTAAACTTCAAGGTTTTCTAAACACAAATAACAAGTTAAACCTTTACACTTTATAATAAATATTATAGTTAATGTTATCTGATAGTATTACTCATCAAATCTACATGAGTATTAATACGTATGCAGTGTATAGAAATGTGTAGACGAGACCAATTAATAGAAAATGGAGAGGAAAGAGGAAAGTAACCCATTCGATACAGTTGGTGTTTTTTCTCGTATATTTTTCTGGTATGTAATATTTTCTTTGATTAATAATTGAAATTTTGTAATATAAATTATTCGCTCAGGGGTGTAACTAATGAATTTATTTCAAGTAAGTAGTAAAATATTTTATCGTTTATACATAGAAAAAAGATATTTACACACTTGTATTATTAAATATATGAAGAATCATTGTCTTATGATGTTCCTTTCCTCAAAAGGAAAGAAACAACATAAGACAAGGTATGCAAAATATAATAACAAATCAAAAACTTAACAAAAAAATTTTAGATAAATTAAAAAATAATGTCCAAAATATGTACCCGAGTATACATAGAAATCATATTGAAAATTCATTAAAGAGATTACAGGCTCCAGATCAGAAACTAAATTATGTTCGTTAGTAATAAGAAATAATTATTTTCTGTACGATGAAACGTTTAACACCCAAATTGGTGGAATTCCAATGGGAACACGCATAGGGCCAAGATTGGCAGAAACATTCGCGATGCATATAGATGAAAAATTATAAACATAGAAGGAATTCTACAATAGGTATGTAGACGACTGTATCATTATATTTGACAGTAGAAAAATAAGCGAAGAAATTATTTTACAACGAGCAAACCTAATAGAAAAAATACACAGTTTGATACCGAAAAAGAAAGAAACAACAATATTAATTATTTAGATTTAACCATTGAAAGAAATGAGAATAAATTAGAATACAAAAAATTTTTCAAACCGATGCAAATACCTAAGATCCTTCTTAACTACAAATCATATGTGCCAACAACTATGAAATTTAATATTTTGAAAATGTATATTGATAAAGTAAACAATAGAACAAGTAAATTTGAAAATCAACAAAAAGAAATAGAAGAAATTATAAAGCTTGAAGAATGGCTACATTGGGTAAATAATAATGAATATAGAAATAAAACATTTGAGAACAATAAATAATGTATAATGTGGGTCAGATATTCTCGTTGATAGCATTTACGTATTGTATTTTAAAACGTATCTTTATCGTTAAAATTACGCTCGTTGTCGTTTTATAATAAACTAGCTGCAAGGACCCGCTTCGCTGGGCAAAAAGTAACGATAGTGAAGATTAAGATAATTACATTATAGCTAATCTTACCCGTTTTCACAGAATGCAAGGATTAGGTCCCCTGTTTCCAGACTAATTAGAGAATTTTTACGTTTAGTCAAGCAAACTATTTTCAACGTTTCTGGAACGTTTACAATCGTTCTATAATCGAACCAAATTCGAATTTTATGTTCGAATTTAATTCGAACAAAACATTCGAAATAGAAAGCCACTTTCAACTACTTTTAGCCTCATATCTCCCGCACCCTCATAGCGTAGTCTTGCTCAGTG